ATTACAGAAAAGTAAACTGGACAGATAAATTGCCAAATCCCTCCTTCGTGAAGAATCCGGGAGTATTTATTACGGTGGCCAACGTAATTTATCTCCAAAACCTACGTCACACAGACTTGCTGCTTCATAACAGTCATATCAGTGTTTGTCCAGGTCCCGAGCAGAACAACTACAAATCTGACTTGTTAGAACATCTGGTTCAAGTCACGTCCACACTTTCCTAGGACATCAGTTCATGTACACATTTCCTGCAGATAAGTTTCCTTATGGTCCACTGGCAAGGAGGAACTCAGACCCGTGGTCATTCCATATGTTGCAGGAACTTCAGAGAAACTTGAGATGTGTATTTTCTAAACACGGCGTCCCAGTGGCTTTTAAACCCCAAATACATTACGGCAAAGACTGGTCCATCCCTAAGATCCAGTCCCCCGGCACGAACAGAGTAGTGTTGTGTTTGCTCTTCAGTGCCAGGAGGGCTTCATACATCAGGGAAACTAAACAGCCACTTACCAAAAGGATGGCCCAGCACAGAAGATCAACATCACCAGGCCAGGACTGTAATGATTGCATCTATACCCAGATATAAGGACGGATGAGGACAGCGACCAAGACTCAGAATGAATGAGTTTATTTACAAATGATAAATTATGTGGTAAGCCAGGGAGGAGGCTGGAACACTGAAGAGCAAAGAGAGGATTAGAGTCCTTGTAGTCAAGGGTGATAATGTTATTTACGATGGAGGTCGGTGTCAGACGTGTGGAGGGCTGACCCAAATGGTTCCAGGCAAAGGAGGTGTGCGTCTGAACAATGGCAGGCGTTTTGCAAGTGGTATGAAGGCGTGGAGGCAACTGAAGAGGGACAGAGGAGCTCGAGGTTCACAAGAGGAGGATTCAGGAAACAGGAGGACATGTGAAACTGGAGGCACGGAGAAAATACAAAATCATTAATATTTGATTTTAGACACGAGTAAAAGGCTAGAACAAGATTACCGTTGGCAGGTAATGCTCCAGTGCTGGCTGAATGTCTTCTGTAGCCTTTTATTCTCCTGATGCTCACCAAGTCGATGATCCTCAGGTGTAGCTGATTAGAATCTGGCTGTGGGTGCAGGAGCTGGCAGAGCACAACTCCCATAAGGACTCTGTGGTCTACGCTCATCTGCAGGCCAGAGGTCGCTCAGGGATGAAGATGTTCACATCGTTGATAGAGAGGAACTTTGGATTGAGAGAGGACTGATGGAAACCATCTTTGTGAAAAGAACCTGTCCATCATTAAACAGGGGCGGAGCCTCCGTGTCCAACTGTCCCCCTCTTATTGTTAATATCACTCAGCTCTCTGTGAATAGCAAGCGGCCATCAGGGCACTAACAATCAATCATTCGGCTCTTGGTCCTCCTCTATCACGTGAACAGCTGGTTCTGGATGTCAACAACAAACTGGCTGATCCACTATGAGAAGGTGATATTTATAAGACTGAGTTTGTTGCAGCTCCTCAGACTGAAGAAGTCTTTTTGATAAAAGATGAAACATTTCAACAAGCAGAATCCGTCCAGAGGACCTGACTTGACTTTTTTTAGATTTTTCTACCTGGATTATTGAGCATGCATCAGGATTAAAAGCTGATTTCAAACTCATGTTTGTGCTCAAGTCTCTGTAAGCTTGAACTGTCATTGAGGCAACAATATTAAACTACTAATCAAAAGGCAGGTAGTTTGTAGCAGCTGCTTTGTGGTTTGAACATGTTTTATCAGACAAGTTCAGCACTGTGGGTTTAACTATCATTTCTGGGTGTGTGTTAATTTGTTGGTCTTTTTATTTATTTAAGGAGCTCATTTGATTTTATTTTTTAATTATTTTTAGTCTTGTCCTTTGTGCACCTCACAGGAGAGAGAGCTTTCTGTAACTCAAACGAAGAATAATCTCATGCTGGATCCTCTTCACAAACTTTCTGCTTTGTCCTGATTCTAAAACTGTCAGGATGCTCAGCTGAGAAGGTGATCGGCTGCAGCCTTCCATCCCTCCACGACCTGTACGTCTCCAGGACTGTGAGGCGAGCAGGTCGGATCACAGCTGACCCTGCTCACCCTGCACACGGACTGTTTGAACCACTCCCCTCAGGCAGGAGGCTTCAGTCCATTCGGATCAGAACCTCCTGCCATAAGAACAGTTTCTTCCCCTCTGCTGTTGGACTCCTGAACACTCATAATGCTACCTCATAATGTCTGCTTTGGTCACATTACATCTGTATTATAACTGAATACTCCATCTGTACTGTTTTCAAAGCTTTTTTATTGTTTTCTATTGTATGGGTGTACATATGGTTATGTTATGGTTTTAATTTTACTTTTTAATTTGTGGGTGTACACAGGCTTATGTCTTGTGTAATGTTCTCATTTTTACTTAATTTTTACTTTATTTTTTACTTTATTTTACTTTACTCTTATTCGCACCTTATGTCGAAGCAAATTCCTAGTTTGTGAACCTCGTTCATTGACATGGCGATAATTAACTGATTCTGATTCTGATTCTGATTCTGATTCTGATGAAAACTTCAGGCAAAGGAAGAAGTTGAAAAGTTGAAATATTTGCAAAAAATATAGTTTATTCAGTTTGTGCAACATTTAAACGAGCGCACCTTCTCCATATTTAAAGATCAACTTGAGACTTTGAAAACAAGCCAAAGCTGCTGAAATTGTTCAGGTTTTATCTTTTTTTTTAAACAAGAGTTTGGCCCCAGTGATGCTTGAACACGCTGAAGTTTAGAAACAGCCCACAGTGACGTCACATGTCTCTCCACCTGCAGCTCTGTCCTCCACTCACATGATGGACGTCCTCGCCTCTAAACAAAGACTTTTCACTCTTACGGTCCTGCTCTGCGTTTCAGGTAATTTAAAGAAATCAACAGTGGATTTAGGTTAAATTAAGATTAGGGTCAGATGAGTCTGTGCTGGAGCTGATTTGTTTTTTTGTCATCAGACATGTACATGTACATATTGTAGTATTTTCTTCTGCTCGTGGACAGACTGTTGTATTTCTGTTTTTGACCCGTGCAGCTCTATCTGATGGGAGCGGAGTGACTCAGAGTCCTCTGCTGTGGACGAACCAGGACAAGTCTGCAACAATGACCTGTGATCACACTTTGGGAACAGCATACTGGCAGATGTACTGGTATCAACAGCTGCCAGGAAAAACAATGAAACTGATAGTTTTCACGACTCCAACCCCCCCACACCAGTATGAAAAGGGTTTCTCTGAGGACAAGTTTCCAGCAGAGAAGAAAGAAGCTCAGACTGGATCTCTGACGGTGAAGGATCTGCAGCCTGAAGACAGCGGCGTGTATTTCTGTGCTGTGAGCCAACACAGTGGTGCAGGAGACTTCAAGAGCTGCACAAAAACACAACTGATGCTGTGGTGAGAGAATCATTTATCTACAGGGGGAGCTGCAGATCCACAGCAAAGTACATTTAATTTACTGTTTTTCACTGATCACAACAGATTTACCTGTAAAAAGTCGACTTTTATTTAAACAAACAAGAAAAAAACACCTTCTTATATTCAGGTTTAGATTTTTGCACAAGTTTTATCAATCTTAAGAGAATCCATGCATTAATTTTCTTTACTGCTTTTTCTTTTTAAAGATTTACCTTTGGGCAGCTCTGGCGCTTCACAGCGAGAAGGTCATGGGTTTGATCCCCGGTTTGGACCTGGGACCTTTCTGTGTGGAGTTTCCATGTTGTCCTCGTGGGTTTTATCCCACAGACCAAAACCTGCACGTTGGACTGCCTTCAGGCCCGGGCCTCCCTTGACAAGGATCTAGATCTTCATGGGTCTGGTCTAATAAAGGTTTATGTCCTGAAGTCACTGTGCAACAGGCAGGGGACACCTGGACAGATCTCAGTCCATCACAGGGACACCCTGGACAGGTCTCCAGTCCATCACTGGGACACC